TATATATTTTTTTTTGTTTTATTTTTCAGTTTTCTCCCTGAGGGATTGCCACTTTATGTGGTCAGGGGGTTTGCGTGCCTCAGTGACCCTAAGAGCTACACCAGCAGAAGCTTAGCCTTCTGGTGGGACCCCCAAGTTGGACAGGTCTTAGGGTAGAGGCCTGACAAAGTGCAATCCAATTACATGACAAAAACAGTTATCCAGAGCACCCCCACCACCACCCCACCCTTTTCCCGCCTCCGTCGCCACCATGTGCCCCCTTCACATTTCTGTCTGCCCCCTCATATATGCATGTCCAGAACCGGCCCCTATGTATGTACATATTTATAGCATGCCGATCGCGTCAAACAAATCGCGGCAATGCCAAAAACACCAAAAACCCGTGCATGTACATTCTCAGTTATTAACGCACATAAATAAATTTCAAGCACATGTTAATATATTGCTGCCATATTGGTTTCCGGTTATCTCGATCATCGGTTATTCAAATCTCCAAAGCAGTCACATGGTTGAGTGCAGAACCAAGCTTCAGATGACCATGGTCACATGTTTAGGGAGGAATGGAGGAAACCTCGAAGCTGTGCTTCAGAATGTATTGTATCGTTTTTTTGTCACATACCTCGGAGCTTCGGTGTCAAGCTTAACATCACTAGCTGCCCCATTCCCTCTGTTAGTCTACGTGTCGTTTTCTTAGCTACTTTTTCCCTGGTGAGTTTTGACCCCTTGTTGTTCCTTTATTTAGTGTCTTTCCAGTTTTCTTCAGTTTCCTTAAATCCCTTTGTCTTGGAGCTTTTAAGTGGATCGTCACCTTGTTTCCCTGCCTGCACCAGGCCGCGCCCCAACATGCACATTAAATATATGATCTGTGCAAATTCTGAAACATCTTTAATAAATCACATTTTACACATTGTCTTTTCTGAATTTGCATGGAACATCAGTGATGCACACTTTGACACAGTTTCCATATGAATGGGTCACAACAGTCCAATATTAAACCAACTTCCCAGCAGATTCAGAGTTTTTAGTGTCACAGGAGAAAAGATGCATTATTGTTGTTCACAGTGCAGTTTACTAGACAGTGGCCCATTATCAACTGACATGCGATCTGACATAAGTCAAATAGGACGTCAGTTGAGTAGCCGGTCCTGCAATGCAGCCCAGGACACATTCGCCTTCACATTGCTGTAAGAATGTGGCCATATGCGGCCCAGACCACCTCCCAATGTGGTTTCAGTGATCAGATCTCAATGCATCTTCAATGTGTCCTGGGTGTCTTCACACCTGTAATTAGCTCTGTCCACTTGTGATTGGATCACCCAGGACGCATGTTAATAAAAGGTGGAAACAGGACCAAAGGGTCTATGTCCAGATTATGATATTTACAAATATCCATCCATCCATCCATCCATCCATCTCCTAACCGGTAATCCAGGTCAGGGTC